GGGTTTCACTATGTTGCCCAGGCTGGTCTCCAACTCCTGAGCTCAAGTGATCCGCCCACCTCGGCCTCCCAAAAGTGCTGGGATTATAGGTGTGAGCCACCACACCTGGCCCCTCTCTCTTTTCTTTCTTTTCTACCCACTTTCCCTTCCTGTCTCCCTTCAGTCATCTATTTCTCCTTTTTTTTTTCACTTGTCCATTCATTTAACAAGTATTTCTTTAATATCCAGTGAGTCCTAGATGCTGTGCTAAGAGCTGCTGAGGATGCGACGATGAATAAGATAAAGATGATGTTTGGGTCGGGCGTGGTGGATCACTCCTGTAATCCCAGCACTCTGGGAGGCTGAGGCGGGCGCATCACGAGGTCAGGAGATCGAGACTATCCTGGCTAACACGGTGAAACTCTGTCTCTACTAAAAATACAGAAAAAATTAGCCGGGCATGGTGGTGAGTGCCTGTAGTCCCAGCTACCCGGGAGGCTGAGGCAGAAGAATGGCGGGAACCCGGGAGACGGAGCTTGCAGTGAGCCGAGATTGCACCACTGCACTCCAGCCTGGGTGACAGAGTGAGACTCCGTCTCAAAAATCAAAAAAACAAAACAAAACAAAAGATGATGTTTGTTCTCACGGAATTTGTAGCTTGGTAGGAATTCGGTGCTGGCGTTATTATTGAACTCACACCTGCATTACTCCTGGGGGTGCACAGGAAGCCGTTGATATAAAAGTGTTTTATGAAAGTCTTGGGCACAAAAGTGTTCTGCAGATTGTACCACCAACTGAAAGTGAAGGAGGATTTGATGTGGTAATTACTGTGGTTAGATTGGGTGTCAGGGACTGGGGTGGGTTGAGATTTTGAGGTCTCCCTAGATAAAGGGACATGTTCAGGTTGTCTTGTTTCTTTCCTTATATATGTATCAGCTGTTGTTCTATGTTTTAGAGGTATGACACAGAGAAGTCTGCTGCCCTCGTGGACTTACAATGCAGTGGGAGAGACAAATGAGATTAAGAGACATTGCTCATATAAATCAATATATATTCATAACTACCAACTGTGATGAATGCTATAGATAAAAAGTACAGAGTATGAGAAAAGTGTACGACAAGAGGCCCACTGTAGATTTAGGTGGCAGTGGTTAGTGAAGGCGTCCCTTCGAAACATGTAATTCATACAGAGATGTGAAGAATAAGGACATCTAAGGCAGGCTCAGGGAAGAGGAAGCGGAAAATTACTCCAAGCAGTATAAAGGTCTTCAAGCCTGAACAAATCTGGTGCATTGAAAGTCCTACTCCAAGCTGCGAGAGTGTGGGAGGAGCAGCTTGAGAGGAGGCTGGAGAAGCCGCAGGAGCCAGACCCGTGTGCCTCTTTAGTTAATGTATTTTTTATTTTTGACACAGAGTTGTGCTCTGTTGCCCAGGCTGGAGTGCAGCAGTGTGATCTCGGCTCACTGCAACCTCAGTCTCCTGGGTTCCAGCGATTCTCTTGCCTCAGCCTCTGGAGTAGCTGGGATTGCAGGCGTCCGCTGCCACACCCGGCTAATTTTTGTATTTTTCGTAGAGACGGGGTTTCCCCATGTTGGCCAGGCTGGTCTCGAACTCCTGACCTCAGGTGATCTGACCACCTCGGCCTCCCAAGGTGCTGGGATTATAGGCGTGAGCCACCGTGCCTGGCCATCCACCAGCAAATTCTATTGGCACTGCCTCCAAAACGTATTTTGAATGCAAACTCATACCTCCATTTCACCATGACACTAACCCAAGCCATGGCTATATTTCCCCGAGATAATTTCTATGGCCTTCTCACTGTTCTCTATGCTTCTCCTTTTAACCTCCTCAAGCCCATTCTCCACAGAGCAGCTAGAATGATACTTCTACTTTTTAAATTTTAATTTTTTTAAGACAGGGTCTGGCTGTGTAGCCCAGGCTGAAGTACAGTGGCACTATCACAGCTCACTGCAGCCTCAACCTCCTGGGCTCAAGCAGTCCTCCCACCTCAGCCTCCCGAGTAGCTGGGACCACAGGCACACACACCACGCTGGGTTAATTTTTAACATTATTTGTGGAGACAAGGTTTCACTGTGTTGCCCAGACTGATCTTGAATTCCTGGGCTCAAGCAATCCTCTCCCTTCAGCATCCCGAAGTGTTGGGATGACAGGCGTAAGCCAAATGATAGTTTTTTCTTTCTTTCTTTTTTTTTTTTTTAGATGGAGTTTTGCTCTGGTTGCCCAGGCTGGAGTGCAACGGCACGATCTGGGCTCACCGCAACCTGCCTCCCAGGTTCAAGCAATTCTCCTGCCTCAGCCTCCTGAGTAGCTGCGATTACAGGCACCCGCCACCATGCCTGGTTAGTTTTCTATTTTTAGTAGAAACGGGGTTTCTCCATGTTGGCCAGGCTGTTCTTGAACTCCCGACCTCAGGTGATCTGCCCACCTCGGCCTCCCAAAGTGTTGGGATTACAGGTGTGAGCCACCACGCCT